AAACTGTGATGTTTTATTTTACCAAAACATTTCTCCCAAAGAGTGTTTTAACACATTTGTCAGCACCTTTGATCTTCACCTTGTGTTTCAAAGATCCTAAGATGTGCTGCTGGTACAATTAATTTTTGCTGGAGGCTAGACCAATACAACGAGATGCAAAACAATTTTAAGATGCAGATTTTTTTAAGTGTGTGATTTCCTGCAGAAGTGGTGCACTAAAAAGAAAATTCAGAACAATTTTGAATCTTCTGAGATTTAGGTCCCCCTCAATGCAATGCAAATTAGGATGGATGATGATGGAGTTTACAGCTATGTTAGAATTTAACTGATTCCTGAGCACTACTCTAAGTACATTTTAAGATATTCAATGAACATGCTTAAAATTAATAATGCGTTTAACAGCTTTCTGAAGCAAAGACTAAATGTTCTCAAATTTTTTTTAAGGCCTAAACAAAAAATGGAAGTCCTTTTATTATTTAGTTATCTGTCTTGCACCTAAAAAAGTTGTGTGTCTCACATTTAGGCTCATGCTGAATTTCACATAGGTAAGATTAAATGAGATTATTTTCACACAGATCATAAAACTAGAAAAGTTAAAATAAAGGAATGTAGATCCTGAACTGAGATATTAAAGAGGATTATACCATTACAGGAAAAAATGAATCTAATGACTTGGACACACAAGAAAATTATGATGATATAGCACATCATAGACATCAGTTGCTCTGTATTAATGACTTATGTGTATATCCACCTATAAATGTGATACAAACTTCTTTTCAGAAATACAAAGTTCTTTGAACACTTTTGAAGCCTCAAGTACTTCAAAGTAAATAAAATCCTGCAAGCCTGTGCAGCACTCCTGCTTGCTTATCCTAAAATTGTTCTTTATGTTGTCTCACATATAAAAAATCCCATTAAAAATCATTAACAAAGGAAACTGAAAAATTAACAGTTATTTTCCTTAATACTGTGTTGTACACAGTCGCTGTTTTTCCATTGGCTGTCTACCTTAAGACAGCTTCTTCTAGACAACTTTCCTGAACATGCTTATGAAAACTGAAAAGTAAGTGTCAAACTTTGTTTAAATGACTGTCCTAGTTTCATCCAGGGCAGAGTTATTTTTTTACAGTAGCCAGGAGTGGTGGTGTGTGTGTCTGTGGTCCCAGCTGGTGGGACACTGAGCCCAGAGGATCGGACTGCTTGAGCCCAGCAGCTGTGGGCTGCTGTGTGCTCTGCTGAGAGGGCCTGGCCATCACCCGAATATTGTTGAATAACATTTTACACCACTGCCAGGGACAGAGGAAAAGGACTTTTTTTCTGATTTCTGGAAAGAAAGGCATTCCTTTTCCAGCTGGGAGAAAGTGTAGTGTGGTGTGGTGTAGTGTGGTGTGGTGTGGTATGGTGTGGTGTGGTGTGGTGTGGTGTGGTGTGGTGTGGTGTGGTGTGGTGTGGTGTGGTGTGGTGTGGAAAAATTAGTTGGTACTGGCCATGGGCTTTCTGTGTAAATTGTTTCTGTCTAATACCTTTTGTTATTAATATTTTTGCTGTTACTCTTTCCTTTTTTTTTAATCTCATTGCTGTTTCCAGTAAATTGTTCTTGTCTCAAACTGCAATTTTCACCCCTTTGTGCCTCCAGTTCTCAACTCTATCCCTGGAGCAGGAAGGGGGAAGGAGAGGGGTGTGAGCGAGTAAGTGAAATCTCATTTGGGAGAGTCTCAGAGGGTACTAAATTGGGAGTGTCATTGCTAAACCATGACAATGACTTTATAGCACATCTCTTTCTCCATTAAATTTGTCTTGTCTTGTCAAATAAGGAAATTATATTGCTTCAGCATAATATGCTCCTGATTTTTTAACCAATTTATTAATTTCTTGGTCTTGATAAGTTGATTTCTAAGAATGTGTTTTAGTTCATTTCTTAGAATCAAAGCTAGTCTCAGCTAATAATTTTCTGGATCTCTTCTTCTTAGAAATAGGTATAATACCTTCCCATACCCACTGTTTCTTTACCTTACAAGACCTCCATAAGTTTTTGGAAAGAATCACTAATAGTCCACACACAGATTCAGCTTGTCCTTTGAACACACTACTGTGAATGTTATCAGATCATTTCCATCAAATTCACTTAGTCAAACATTGATTAGACAATTTTTTTATTGCATACCCTCTGGTAAAAATTGATTTTCTTTAATAGCTGGTCAGCTAACCCTTTTGATGAAGTAAAAGAAGTCTTTTCTGTATCATCTGTTCTCTTTTCCTCCTAACCAAAATCAGAGGATGTTACTCTAATGACAATTTTTTGTTACCTTTGTACTTTATACGATTCTGTACTTTAACCTTTCTGACATCCTGTAGGATGACTCTGCTCTTCTTTTCTACTTCCAGTCATGGCGTTTTGATTCCACATTTTGTACAATTCCTTTTCAATTTTCAGAATGTTTGAGAAAGTTGATGCTGTCATATTATTCCTTTGATTTTTTTCTGCTTTGGGAGAATTTTCTGTTCTACCTTGAGCACACTCAGTGCAAGATTTTCTGCACTTCTTTTGTCCCTCAAATTTCTTTCCAAGAATCTTTCTACTCACCAGATCTCTGAGCTCATTTAATTCTGTCCTTTCTGAAATCCATTATCCTCTTTCTACTTACAGCCCTTCCTTTTAACAGTGACTATTTTGTGACAAATAAATTTTTTAACCAATGACTCTCTTAGAGCAAATCAAATCTACTGTAACCACTTCCCTCTTATCTGTCTCAGTCTTGTGGGCGGATCCTGGCCAGCAGCTAAGCACCCACATAGTCACTGACGCACTCCCCTACCATTGTCCCCTGTCAGGATGAAGGAGAGATCAAAAGTTAAAAAGCCTCATGGACTGAGATATTTGCAGTGTAATAGGGGAAGGGGGAAGGGAAAAAAATCCAAGTGATTGCCTTTGCATTACTTTCCACCTCCCATAAGCTGTCCAGGCAATCTCCAACTAACAGCTGCTTTGGAAGAAAAACCTTCCCAATTTTTGTTTCTGTCTATATGAGAGAATATCCTTCTGGCCAAGTTGGGTCAGCTGTCTCAGACATATTTCTTCATAACTTCTTGCCCACACCAAGCCTATTAGTTACGAAGGCAGAATAGGAAAATGAGAAAATCATGAGGCTGTGCAAACACTTGTTTAGCAACAGTCAAAACATTGGTGCGTTTTAGCAACAAATCCAAAACACTTATAGGATTCTATGAAGAAAGTTAACTTCATCCCAGTCAGACCCAGTTACAGTATTCTGAAATAAGTAAATGTTCTCAGTGTTGCCAAAACTTTATTAGTCACTGATCTCACATAATAGATTAAGCGACACTGGGATAATAAATGTTCCTTGCTGTCATACGATCATAGAATGTTTTGTGTTGGAGGGGACCATACCATAGAATGATAGAGAGGGTTGGGAGGAACCTTAAAGATCTTCTAGTTGCAACCATCACACCATGGGCAGGGATGCCATCCACCAGATAAGATTGCTCAGGACTCCATCCAGCCTGGCTCTGAACAATGGGACACCCACAGCTACCCTGGGCAATCTGTTCCAGTGCCTCTGAGTGTAGAGCATCTTCCTAAGATCTAATCTAAATCCCTCCTTTTTTAGTTGAAAATTATTCCTCCTTTATCCTATCACTATCTGCCCATCTGAAAAGGTGTTCTATTTTATAAGCCCCCTGTAAGTCCTTTTTTGTGCTCAGTACTCCAGATCAGGACACTGTACTCCAGGTGGGGTCTTACAAGGTCAGAGCAGAGTGAAAATTAAGATGAAGGAAGAAATGGAAGGATTCTCTTAGTTGCTCTTAAAAACCTCATGATCTTCTAGAGAAATAGTTTGCACTACATCCATGAAAGGACACAATCTAAGATATTTTTCCTTTTTAAAATTCCTTTAGAACTTCCCATAGGTCTCTCTTATCCCTATCTTTTCTGTAGAACAAGTATTTATGAGAAAGCCTTCAAAAGCTCAGAGGTAGAAATGAATATAAATGCCAGAAATCACAGAATATCTTTCAAAATCTTTTGAAGTACTGGAACACGGACAGAGTAGACCAAGGTTACCCGGAACACCTACAGAGTTTAGCAGTTTGCAGCTGAGAGTAATGATGAAACAGGGATCCTCTTCTCCAAAAATAATATTTCTATCACTTCAGCTGAGGACTGGTATATGATAAAACTTCAAATCTCTTCTATATAGCATGGAGGCTCAGACCTAAAATGCTTCTGGCTGTCTTATTCTGAGATGCCACCCTCGAATTTCCATCTGAAGCTTTCAGACCAGACAAGGCATGAAGAAATACTGCTCAAGTGTGTCTGATTTCACTCCTGAGGTGTTGCTCTCAGAGCCAGTCTACCTACATTTCAGCTACAGTAGAAATCAGTCCCAATTTCTTCCATGGATCTGGAGCATAAATTCTGTACTACTTTTATGAGATGTAAGGTTTATTGAGCAGAAATACCTGTGGGCATGGTAGCCCTAACAATCTGAAATGCTTCACTAAGCATAATTGATTTTGAAAAAAAGTGAATGTTTCTTCAAGTTTGTAAATGCTCTATGACAAAAGGCACCTGGGAATATGAGAAAGACACTATCAGTGCCCTCCTGAACAGCCAAGGAAGAAATCTAGCTTTTGTCAGAACTTGGTTCTCACCCCTGACAGAAAAATCTGTGAGAAACCAATTTTGTTGCTCTGAAATTTTTAGTTATTTTACTGATCATTGCAAATAAAAAAGTCACAAAAATGAGCCAAGCAATGAATCATAAGGACTAAAATTTGAAATAACTCTCAATTAAGAAAAAATAAAAATTATTGATAACAGTACTAGGACTGGGAGCATTAATAAGTACTTAGATTTCATTATAATTTTGGTAAATATTGCACACTTCAATATTTATTGGTAGATACATTTTAGGTTGCCATAATCTTTCTGATAAAAATTGTATTGGAATAAGTCAAAGTGAAATCTCACTTGCCTGTAAAGTGCTGAAAGTGGCCTCTTGTTGCCAGGTTTTGGTCTGTATGGTTTTGGTTCTCCTGCCATGTTGATATCTGAAAACAAACATTTGATATCAGTAAGTCAAACACCTGGAAGTCTGCAAAGGCACCTTCAAGTCATTGAAAATGAGTAATGGGCAGTAAAAATGGACAGCATACCTAAAACACCGGTCTAGTTTTTGCCTCTTCTAAATTGATGACATAAAACTTTCAGAAAGATTTTCACTGTAATGCATTGTGAATTTAGGCAAAATATCAGTTATTGTTAACAGAGAGAAATGACATTTTTTAAACACACAAACATCTACTTGGTGAAGCCAATAATGTGTTTCTAATACAGAAAATTTGGATGGTAACTAAGATGGCGAAATAAACAATGATCTCAAATCAAAATCTGTTGAGGAGGACTGCAATTGTTCTGAAGAGCTCCCGTTTAGGATCTAAAGAAATGCACACTGATCTTTAACTGCTACTCTATCATCAACTCAGAAAGTATCTATTTCCCATCCCAAATGCATCACTCCTTGGAGAATGAGAAAATCTGGGTTTGCAAATGTTTTCTCTTAAGCAGGTACTTATTCTTCTCAACAAGATTAGAAATCTTGTGAATGCTTTGAAAGTTCACTGATATTCCACCTATAAATTTATGCCTGAAATATAAAAGAAAGTCAACCTTACATAGATATAAGCTTGATATAGATATATAGCTTCTATAGAGATATATATCTTCTACAGACGTTATTTTTGTTCTCAAATTTATCTCTTCATTGGAATCATACTCAAAGACATACCAGGAGATAGGTGTCTCATTATGATTGCTAGAACAGTTATACATGGAGAAAGAAGCAGAGACCCTTCTGAGGAGAATACCTTTTGGAGCTTAGGAAGCTGTCTATATAAAAACAAACCTATATTAAAAAGCTCCTCCATTCTGATTAAATGTTGCAAAATCGACTTTACACTAAATCACAGGGATAAAGTGAAACTTTTCTTTAGGAAACAAATTTCATGCAATTTGAGGGATGCTGCAGCTAAATCTCTTCTCAGCTTCAATAATATAAAAAAAGAATAACAGTGAACAAAATCATCAGAATTATTTCAGTGTAAAATTGCTGTGACAGAACATCATATCCTATTAAATGTGGAATCATGTGGTGGTTGAGACTTGCAAGAAAACACATGTTTTCAGTAAAGTCTATTTTAACCTGAAAAGTCTATTTTACCCTGAAATTGACTGTGGTGGAGGGAGATGTAGAAAGATAGGGTGTAGGAGTGGGGATAAACACAGTCTAGTGTTTTAGCACTGATGCTAAAAGCTCAAACATTTTTATTTATTATTTTTGACCTCAAAAGATGCAGTAAAAGCCTGAGACTTATTGACTGGATATTTTTATTTTACACAAAATTAATAAAAAACTCCCAATCTGGCCTTTTTTTAGTAATCAGGATTATTGAAAATGAATGTCCCTTAGACTTCTTCTTGACAGAAAATATTTTGCCAATAGAAATTTCAAACTTCAAATATTTAAAAGAATTTTAAAAATTTTACACTTATTTTTGATATTTTGAGCTCAGTCAACATGTATTTAAAATTATAAATACTTATAAAATATGTATTTATATTTAATATATAAAATTCTTTTATGTAGAACTATATAATATAAAATACTTAAGTAAAATTTTCCTTATACACAGTATTTTGGTATTAAATCTGACTGCAGTTTCTTTTGTAGGAGCTGTATTACTATTAAATCATAATTTTTCATAAAATGGTAATTTTCTTGTTTCATCTACCCCTCTGAAATTGGAGAAATATTTGTGGACAGTTTTCATGCCTCCTTGAAATGCTTTCCTTCCCTTAATTTTAGCAAGTCCTTTATTAAATATATTTTTGTCTTCCATTTTTTTATAAGTTCAGCTATGATGCCCTTGTTTTAAGATATATAAATTCTAATATGTTGAATCAACAGAGTAAATACCAAGCATTTTGGAAAGCCACTGAGGAATTTTGATAGCTCTGTTGCATTTCCATAGGCTGCTGGAAACAACAAAATTGGAACAAAATTTCTATCCTGTGACCTTTGCAATAATTAGACCTTTTCATACTAATTTTATATGTCATTTTAAGGTCATTGACTGTGTTGGCTTTCACCATCTCCTACTAAAATTTGGACAGATTTTAAGGAAAAAAAAGTAGAATTATAATCTGCTCTTGGGAAATATCTGAGGCTGTCTTATCTTCTTCACAATACCATATTCTTCACATATTTTTTGTCTGTCTGCTACTCTTTCAGAGTTACATCTTAAATGTTCTTCTCCTTAAACCCTTATTTACAGTTTTTAAAAACTTTTTCATATTCTCCTGGGACAGATCAATGCTATCTTGATGACTATTCTTATAGACCTACATTTCCAGCTCTACAAAACCCACTTTTTAAAAAGTTGAGTAGCGTAGAAGGCTAAGGGCTGTTAGTTATGTGGTCTCTTTATTTCCATCAAAAATGTCAGAGAGGTGACACTGTAAGAGGCACAGTGGCAAAGCTGTTCAGAATCAGTTAAGATTCTCTCACATTTAAATAAATCTCCAAACAGTGAACTACTTTATACAGATAGTAATAGCCCAAAATTCTCTTTAGCACAGAAAATAATTCTTAGAAGAGCTGGGCACATGGGGCTTTTCTGTTAATATGAAAGTGATTGAAAAGCTCTGCAACTCCCTGAGCACTTTGTAGCAAGTTAAGAATGGAAGTAGGAAATGCTTTGAAAAGTTAGAAAAGATTTTCACCCCATTATTTTTTCAGCACTATCTCTTCCAGCCTCAATTTTCTAACTAAGATTAGAAGTGAACTTGTCAACATTTCACAAGATAGATTATTTCTATCCCAACTGGAAATCTTGTGAGATAGGCTGTTCTCTCCCTTCATCCATCATTGGTTTCACAGCAGACATTTACATCTACTAGATCATAAACTCTGTGTCAAATAAATTTGCTGTCAGCAGCACAGAGATTTACCTGTGCTAATGATTCCACCCCAAGGAATGCAGAAACATATCATTCCTTAAGCTGTCAAATTAGCTACTACACTTGTACATGAATATGTACCAGACAACTTCCTTCACAAGGGACACAGACATTCACATTTCTTCTGGAGAGGCATAGATTTGTTTAATTGGCACTTAATGGATATAGAAATGGCTCATGGTCACACTCAAAAATGTATTAAATAGGTAGATTTTCTACTGAAGACCACTGATGATCCCCATTCCTTGGGGATCCATATTGGGACTGGTGCATTTTAACATCTTTCTAGGCAACACAGACAGTGGCATTGAGTGCACCCTCAGCATCTGGGTGCACCCTCAGTTTGCCAATGACACCAAGCTGTGTGGACACTGGAGGCACTGGATGCTAATGACTTCTAGAGGGACCTTAATAGGCATGAGAAGCGGACCCTTGTAAACCCTATGAAGTTCAAGGCCAAGTTCAAGGTCCTGAACCTGGCTCTGGGCAATCCCACGCACTAACAGAGGCTGGGTAGAGAATAGATTGAGAACAGGATTAGGGGGTGAAGATGAGAAGCTTGATGTGACCTGGTAATGTGTGCTTGCAGTCCAGAAAGCTAACTGTAACCTGGGCTTCACCAAAAGCAGTGTGGCCAGCAGGGCAAGGGAGGGGATTCTGCCTCTCTGCTCTGCTCTCAAAGCACTGTGTCCAGCCCTGGGGCTCCCAGAGCAAGGATGTGGCCCTTTTTAAGCAAGTCTAGAGAAGGGCCATCAAGATGATCAAAGGGATGGAGAACCTCCCCTATGAAGACAGGCTGAGAGAGCTGGGGTTGTTGGGCCTGGAGAAGAGAGGGCACAGGCACCTCTCCTATATGGGAATGGAGCAGCCCAGGGACATTATTTACTCAGCTTTTATACTAGAAATGATCACTTAGATATCAATACCAAGATAAATTCATCACTGAAATTCAAAATACTATGGAAACACTACAAATATAAAAATTAATATGCAGAAAACAACACATTGTAATGCAGCATCCTGGTCTTATGTGCTTTCAGAATCAAATGAAATTACATTCTTTATCGAAAGAAATTAATTTTTAGTTCTATACTTTCCGATTATCATGGCAGAGCTTCGTCAAAGAATGAGATTTAGATTTCATTCAAGGTTGTGTGTCATCAGCAGAATAGATCTGATTTTGAGCATATTTTTATTTGTAATTGTACTGAAAATGCCTGGTGATTAATGACAAAACATAAAAATAATTGAAAAAAGAGCATGATTACCATTTAGAAGGCCACTCATTGTATTGAGAGGCTACATAAAATTGTCTGAAAAAACAACTCAACACAGCATGATCTACATTTCTCCTATTGCCATTTCCTAGCATTGACAGCCTATCTCCTCCAGACATGAACATCCCACTTTTGGAGAAGCAGTATCTGCTAGTCCTTGTGCTTTGCCCCCAGATTCCCTAGAAAAGTAATCTGAGAATCTGGTCTTGAAGACAACAGCTGACTTGGCTGTAGAAAACAGGCTGTACAAAACAGGCTTTGTAAGTGCAAGCAATGATACCTAAAGAGTATTCATACCCTAGGAGTATTTCAGTATTTCTTGGTATCCTTACCCTTCAGGTTATTTAAGTGTTATTTAAAAGAAAAAACAAAACCAAAACAATTTTGTTTCACAAAAACAAATACCATAAAGAGGAAGCTTCAACAGGCACTAACTCAATTAATGAAAACAGGGATTTTGAGGCTTTCTGCTGACAATCCAGAGCCCATGTCTCAGGCTATATCTAACCTACAAAATTAAATGGAGCCCTTTCAAGGCACTAGTACTCTTTTATCTGTTGTGTTAAATTGTTTCTTTCCATGACTTTTAGCCACAGTTTACAAGTACTGTCCTATGAAATTTCCAGATATAGGTAGAGAATGGACATGACCTAGAAACTACTGCAGGAATTTCACCCCATGAAAGGGAACAGATCCACATATCTATAATTAGTACCTATAATTCAATATTAAGTATGTGACTTCTGAGTGTGGGC